AAGAAGGGGGAACATTCACTCCTTAATTAAGTATAGGAGGAAATGCAGAATTGCGGCACAAATCTAAACGGCTCGACCTAGGCTCGTGATAGTCGATGTATAGGCATCATGGTAGGAAAAGCCATCACTGTGCTGAAATTGGAGGTGACAGGTCAAAGTCAATGGGAACGGGCAGATTTTAGACATTTTCTGAGGACATGGTCTGACGAGCGATTGAAAAACTTTTTTGTTTCAGCGGTGACCTAGCATTTTTAGGGCTTTATTGAAAGGACGCATGAAATGTCCCTTCTGCTGAACATGCGAAGAGTAAGTGTCGGATAACCTTTTGACCCTCAAGAGGAGGTTAAACATGGATTTGTTTACTGTCTGTTAGAAGAATTTGACTGGCCGGGTTGCTAGTCAGATATATATACATGCCTGGATGTATGAGGCTACAATGTCACAGTGAAATTTCAAAAGCTAAATTTGGTTGAAGAAGTTTATGCTCCTTAAATCGTATAATTTCTATGGCATTCTATACTGTCAGTATGTTACCATGTAAGGTATGCACTGCCAGTGCCACTGCCAGTGCATGTGGCGGTATAGCTAGGCCTACTGTGTAGGTTTTTGCCTGCAATGAATTGTTACAGGTGGCAGCTCTCGTATTGGCACTGTAGGCTTGCGTAGGTAAATGGATGAGTGCTTACCTATTCTGTCTTGCAAATAGTTGTTGCTACTAACGTACGATGGGAGCTTCCATCTTTAATCTGAAGAGCACTTTAAACGTACGCGCCATCTTGTGGCAACTTTCATAACGATCCCAACGAACATTCCTTTGAGAAGGTTCCTGATACATCCCTGTGCATTCCACTGTTTCGGCGTGTATGTGAACACATTTGGGACTAACAGGGTTTACTAGAATCCCACCACTCCACGCACAGAGTCACCGCAGTAGACGTTAGATGAGCGCTGTCGCTCTGCGGCACTTGGTTAGCTCATCTGACATAGTCAGATGCAGCTTGTAGAATCGCATGATCGTCCGTCGAGCGTCCGTCCGTCCGTCAACAGTTGGCCACAATCTTAACGCGCTCGACGTACGGTCACGATATTCGGGACGTGGGGGGGTAATCCGAAAACGAGTTGGGATGTCGAAGCTGGGGTCAAAGGTCAAAGGTCAAGAGGTGTAAAAGAAGGGAACATTCACTCTTAACTTAAGGTATAGGGAGGAAATGCAGATGGCGGCAGAAATCTAAAACGGGCTCGACCTAGGCTCGTGATAGTCGGTGTATAGCATCATGGTAGAAAAGCATCACTGTGCGGAAATTGGAGGTCACAGGTCAAAGGTCAATGGCACAGGGCAGATTTTAGACATTTTCTGAGAACATGGTGTGAGCGGAGCGATTGAAAATTTTTTTTAGTTTTTTGTTCCACATTGTAACAATATATAGCGCTAATGCGTAGCGTTGACTGGCCTGAGCTTAGAGGATCCGATATAGAGGAAACAATAGAAATGTCTTCGCTTATTCGTAATCAATCCAGTTTACGAGTTAGTTTCATTGTCACTCTTTATCTGCTATTGTATCTCTGCATTAGTTACACTGGCCTCATCAACAAAAGATTTTAAACAGATGGTGGCAGAAGTGCCTAAACTGTGACATGGGAAGACTTGAAGCTGTAAGTGTTCCGTAAGAATCACTGGTGAAATTCCGGAGTGCTCGACTCGGACGGCCAAGGATAGAGAACATGGGTCCCAATAAAACCAATGTGCCTCGTACTCCGTAATCTACAGGCACCTATATATATATGATATTCTACACGATCCCCAATGCGAGCTCACGAATTGTATCCACACCTACGAATACTTCTATTACTACAAGTACATGTTAGCAATAATTACTAGTAAGTACTACTAGTACTACTAAGTACAGGACTACTAGTACTAGTAGCTAGTTACTACAAGGAGAGCTAATAATGACAACTGTGTACCGGTACTCAGTAAGGTTACTAATACTAATATTAATAATGACGACTCCTGTTAGTGTTACTAAGTACTCCTACTAAATATAATAAAATATAATGCTAACTAAATAATGAAATCTATTTACTCGGGCAACTTCTTCATGTTCTATAGCAATCAGGCCTAACTCTCTTTGGACCTATTATTGGCCGAGTTTCCTGTAAATTCCGTCGAACATCCTACGTCCAATGTACGCTGCCGGCTGCCATTTGCTGCTCGCGCACGCACTGTTGGCACGCTTACACTAATATATATAGCCAGTAGCCAAAGCGTAGCTCAAAATTCGCGTCGACGCTCATTCTTCATTTGAAACTTTCACAGGCACGAATACAGCATTCCAACAGCTTCCAATCTTGTTTCTCCTTGAACAACAGTATTCACGTTGTTATAAAAACATGAATGTCTCATGGTTACGTACCGAGCTGTGAATGCGAAATCACACAAAGCTGACGAAATTCTCGGCGTTCGCGAACTTGCTGCCCAGTAATGGAAATGGCTGTCAGTCGCAACACTGCAACGTTTTGCAACGTTCCATATGGCGCAGCTCGTAGGGAGTTGGAAAGCTGTGCGCCGCCTGCGCGCGCGCCTAATACCGCATAGGCTTACTTAGTCACCGATGGGTAATCGAGGTGGGGAGTGAGTCCCAGTCTACTATAACCTTTGTTCCGTTGCAGCCATTTCCATTCACTGCGGCAGGTTCGCGAACGTCGAAAATTTCGTTTACGTCCTTTCTCGTGAAATTTTCGCGTGTGACAGCAGCTCGGTTACGCAACAGGAGAAATTATGTTTTTATAACAAGCTGAACACTGTTCACGTCCAAATGTCTGCCTGCTGTGTCCCCCACTAAAATTGTGACTGTTCGCTGGCAGGCTATGGATTGCGTGCGCCGGTCTAAGGGCCATTCGGCGCACGGATCCTAGCGCCAGCGCTCGCATACTGTCCGGCAGGAGTTCTAGCGCGTCGCGTGCGCCCTTGCCGCGGAACTCGGCGCGCAAGATCTGCGCTCAGCAACTTCCGGGTCAACACCTCTTTTGCACACGCTTCTCTATATCCGTCTCATCTGGATGTATGAGGCCTACAATGTCAGTGAAATTTCAAAAGCTAAATTTCGGTTAAAAGAAGTTTATCGCTCGCTTAAATCGTATAATTTCCTAATTGGCATTCTGTACTGTCAGTGTGTTTAATATGCCACTGCCAGTGCATGTGGTGATGATAGGTATGGTGTGTTTTTGCCTGCCGTTAATTAGGTACAGGTGGCAGCTCTCTATTGCAGCCTGTAGGAGGGTTAACCATTGATTTGTTTCTCAACTGCGTTGGGCGAGTACCCTGTGGTTGTGGAACGCTCACCATTTTACAGTGAAATTCCACACATAACTCTTACTTGAACAATGCTTACTTAGGAGATAATGAGATGAGATTATATGAGATTCTGTAGTGTACATTATGAATAGTTGGAATAGTCACTAGCACTCAAATAATTACCCAGGAGTGAGGCTGTGGATTTCCCAGACTTAATTTTCTCATCAAATTTTGGCACCAATATAGACGCAAATGTGTACGTTCTTGAGCTTATTCGGACCACTAATCACTGCGCATACCTTGTTTTGTTTTTGTTTAAATAGGGTTAGGGTCCAAATGCACCATAAAACATTAGTCTCAGGCACGCGCATTTTGTATCAAACCAATGGAATTTGGGGTTATGCAGAATGCGAGAGGTTGCTGAAATGATGTGTACGCAACTGCGTATCTGCATATCTGCGTCTAACAAAAGGTGTCACTACGCACAACTTAAATGTTACGTTTATAACCGTAGCAACAGACCTCACATGAGGCCCAGACGCTCTGCGCTCTTGTTTGTAGTGCTAGGTATCTTCATATATATATCTTTGTTTTGTAACCACTTTTATAACTTATCCAACCTATTACCACTCGTTCGCCAGGCATGCCTCATTGAATGTCCGTGTAGCGAATCTGTAAGATCAGATTAGATTATGTGTTGATGCACAGGTTCCTACTGTGTGTGCAACAGTCCGTGATCCAGCGAAACGCTTGGAGAAAGCTGAACATGCGCTGTCATCTTTCAGAGAGGTGTCGATGAGTACAACTCGAGCCAGCACCGCGCTGCCTTGACCAGCTGCCTGCTGAACATCTTACGAGATGACACAAGGTAAGTAAGTAGGAGACGTGAGATGATGTCAGCGAATGCAAGAGGACCATATGATTAAATAATTTCATGCGGATCTCCTAAAGTTTACATGCTAATAAAGTTTATCTCAGTTAGATCAGAGTCTATCGGAGAGAATGGACGAAAATTTCGTCAGTGCGTTATTTTTAACTTAATTTGATCTAGCTGAGATAACCTTTATTACCAAGAGGACATAATGGTGTATCTTAGGGTAGGGCTTGGCTGTGTTCATGTCACAATCTATTGTGTCACAATGTATCGTGTCACGGTATGGGGCAGATCCAGGAATTATGAAATGTAAGGGCTGGTGAATTCGGAGCACAGTTGACATGGTGGGTGAGTAGCCGCCACGTTTTTTTTTTTAAGTTGTACGCTGGTGGATTACTGAACAAGGCTGGTGAAGTACTGTATCTATTTTAACTGAAACAATTTTTGACACATACTGGAAAATGTGTGAATAGGTGTTTTATTTTATTTTGAAGTAATTGAAATCTAATTTAATTATTTCTTCTATTTTTCTCGATTGTGCGCAGTTTTTTATGAAATAATCCCTTTCATATGAATATCACCCACCTTACACATATACAAGTAGGCAGTTTTTTATCAAAATGATTCTGTTATTTGATCACGTGTTTATAAATCGTTACAATTCGCCACGGGTTGAGATTATTGCCAGCTATTTCACAAATGTGGGCTGTCCTTGTCAGGAACCTTGAGAAGTGACTATACTTTGATCCATCAGTCTATTATAATAAGCTTACACTGCAACAGCCGTTGTTGTACTTTGCAGCCGACTGCCTGACCCCACTTCGAGTCGTGTCAGAGCAAGCATGGAGTCACGGACATGCTAGCTCAGGAGAGATTAGTGCGATATTTGTCAAGCTTCCTGTCTATGGCACCAGGTACTCTAGCTAGCAGGCCAACTAGCTGCACAAGGTGGTTTCCATGGTAACAATCCATGGCACAGTACTTGGTAGCTTCATGTAGTAACGCGCCCATAAGTTTTTTTTGGTAGGTATCCACTGTAGCTGTCCATGGTAGCTTCTCATAGTAGCTGGCTATGGTGGTTGCCCATGGTAACCATCGCATGTAGCTGCACGTGGTTGTGGAAACTGTAGCAAGTGCATTCTAATTATCGGCAGTATACTGGGATGTTTGTAGTTGGTTCAGTTAGCTTTAATTAATCTTACTGCTTCTTTTTGATTAGTATGTTAGCTCTTGAAACATTAGTTTCAATTCTGTTATGGAAAAAAGTGTCGTTAGAATGTTCCTCGCCTAAGTTAAACACCATCCATCCTCCTAACCCAGTAGGTGGCACACACATGCCAGGCTATTACCACCCATACAGACTACGAATTTGGTATGGTACCAACTAGCGCGCGTGTCTAAAGGCCCGCTTATGTCGGGCCTTACGACCTAGATCGCCGACAAGATTTGAATATCGTACGTCAAAAACCGGCCAGATCGTGCCGATAAAAACATCGCGACGCAAACTCGACATGAGTTCTCTTACGATCGAAAATACGGTCGCCGACTGCGATCGGCAGAGAATAGAACATGTTCTTATTTCTATGGCGGCTGTCGGCGACAAATCGTGAGTGGCAGCCAATCACCGCAGCGTGTCGAGTCAAATGATCATCAAAAGTCACGTGATTAATAAAATGGCAGCCTACACGCCACTCGTCAGCAGTTTACAGGGAGGGATTATTGCACAAACTCTTTCTCAAATATATATTAAGTTTTCCGTATAATCACATAAAAAAAAATTATTCTGCACATGATTATAACGATGTTCAGAAAATTGAGAATAGATTTACGAAGTTACATGATGTTTACTGGTAAGCGCCATTTTGTTGGTCACGTACGTCACTCGTTTGATGTAGACTGGTCCCGGCGTCAAGCTTGCTCTGTTTGTGCTAAAGAACTGCTTGTGCTAGTACAAATACTGGGGCCGCGAGCCCGTCTACGTTTGATGCAGAAACGCTACGATGTGATCGGCGATGTGCAGCGTAGTCACTTCAAGTCGACATGAGTGTTGCTACGCTGCTAATCGGCGCTAAAGTAGTCGCCGATAGTAAAATCGTAGACCGACCTGAGCGGGCCTTAACACGCATTAAAAATTGCAGTGTGTACACGCTATCCCGCTCCAAATATGCGCTGGCCTGCTCCAAGTTAGCCCCCTTACGAAGGCAAGGGCTATTTGGTGCGAAACCGCAAGTTATCCGCTCTAACTCTGTGTCTGTTGTAGCGCAATCGGTGCCTAACTAGTTTCGCATGGCGCATGCACATAGGCTTTATTTAGGTCGAGCGTACGCCTCGCTCGCACGCACGCTCTCTGTACTCGCTGTCTGCGGGTGACGTGGCGAGCAGGGAACTGAGGCGGTGGAGAACTGATGACTCATTTAGCCGCACTTCAGAGTTTTGTGTCTGTACGCTCCTAGTTAGCAGCGCGCTAAAATTCGTAGTCTGAGGTGCGCACCAAGTTATCCCGCTCTAACTCTGTGTCTGTTGTACGCAATCGGTGCCTAACTAAAGTTTCGCAATGCGCATGCACATAGCCTTGTTTAGGTGACGTACGCTCGCTCGCACACACGCTCGCTGCACCTCGCTGTCTGTGGGATGACGTGGCGAGCAGGGTACTGAGCGGTGGGAGAACTGATGACTCATTTAGCCCACTTCAGAGTTTTGTGTCTGTACGCTCCTAGTTAGCGCGCGCTAAAATTCGTAGTCTGTACAGGGTATATAAGAGCCAACAAGGGTGTACCCCTCCTGTAAGTGCTGTGGCAGAGATGAAGAGCATCGGTGATATTGAGCTGGCATTTTCCTCTAGGACTCACACGCTTATCCTGGTGGATGCAGACGACAATGTTGAGGTCACCGAGACCACGATGGGGTCAGAAATCGCTTCCCCGATTCATGATCACAGCAAGATGAAGTGGGAGACTCGCACATTCAACTTCAAGTTACAGTGAGATTCAATCTCGGTGTGCCTATCTAGCAGGATGGGAAGCAGAGGCATTTGTGATATATTCTAGTGTGAGATTTTATTAACATAATTTTATGCAGGTTTTATGGAGTCATTAAGGCACCGCAACAAACGTCAGAGTATAAAAGCACTAGATTACCGTTCTTGTTGTCGTTATGTATATGCTCTACAAATAAATTTATGTGGACATAAAGAAGATTTCATTGATTAGCACTGTGTATATAGTCTATAATCTATATTATACACTCCTGATATTTATTTTATATACTGATTGTTATAAAAATATAGGTACGACGATGATGACGATGTGTCAATCAATAATTACGATCTGGGAACATTTTTGTATATTTGAATTTCATTATTCGTCCTTCGAATTGTACAGTTGTTGCATTGCATGACAGTAATCGACTACCGATTATCGATTATCGAATAACTAACTAACGCAGACGAGAGTTCCACTGGCATAGCCAATCAACAGCCACGAAAATGACCTCACCGTGTGTGTAAGCCAATCCTCGGCCGTAGAAAATGACCTTTGTTTGGTGGAGAAGGAGGGGAGAAGCTGGTGGAGGAGGAGGGGGAGAAGCTGGTGGAGAAGGAGGGGGAGAAGTTTCTCCTATATTTTCTCGATTGTGGCAGTTTTTTATGAAATAATCCGCGTTTCAATATGAATATCACCACCTTACGACATCAATACAGAGTAGGCAGTTTTTTATCAAAATGATTCTGTTATTTGATCAGCGTGTTTATAAATCGTTACAATTCGCCAACCGTTGAGATTATTGCCAAGCTAATTTCACAAATGTGGCTAGTCTTGTAGGAACCTTTGAGAAGCTGACTATCTTTGATCGCATCATCTATTATAATAAGCTTACACTGCAAACAGCCGTGTTTCGACTTTGGCAGGCGCGACTGCCTGACCCCAGATACTTTCGACGTCGTGTCAGAGCAAAGCATGGAGTCACGGACATGCTGCTCAGGAGAGGATTAAGTGACGATATTTGCAAGCTTCCTATAGGTCTATGGCACCAGGTACTGCTAGCCTAGCAGGCCACTAGCTTGCACAAGTCGGTTTCCATGGGTATAACAATCGCATCGGCAGCAGTACTTGGGTCAGCTTCATGGTAGTAACCGCCCATATTTTGTTTTGGTAGGTATCCCACTGTAGCTGTCCATGTAGCTTCTCATAGTTAGGTGACTGGCTATGGTGTTGCCCCATGGTAACCCATCCATGGAGGCGCACGTGGTTGTGGAAATGAGTAGCAATGCATTCTAATTATCGGGCAGTAATGGGATGTTTGTAATTGGTTCAAAAGTTAGCTTTTTAATTAATTCTTACTGCTTCTTTTGTGATTAGTATGTTAGCTCTTGAAACATTAAGTTTCAAATCTGTATGGAAAAAAGTGCGTTAGACATGTTCCTCGCCTAAGTTAAACACCATCCATCTCCTAACCAGTAGGTGGCACCACATGCCAGGCCATTCACCCCATACAGACTACGAATTTGGTATGGACCAACTAGCGCGCATGTCAAAGGCGCGCGCTTATGTCGAGGCCTTACGACGCTAGGTCGCCGACAAGCTTTGAAATCGTAGCGTCAAAACGCGGCCAGATCGCCGAGATAAAAACATCGGCGACGCAAAAGCTCGACAATGAGTCTCTTACGATCGAGAAAGTGACGGTCGCTCGACTGCGATCGGCAGAGAATAGAACATGTCTATTTCTATGGGGCGGCTGTCGGCGACAAATCTGAGTGGCGCAATGCACCGCAGCGTGTCGAAGTCAAATGATTATCAAAAAGTCACGTGATTAATAAAATGGCAAGCCCTAACGCTCACTCGTCAGCAGGTTTACAGGAGGGATATTGGCACAAACTCTTTCTCAAATATATATTAGTTTCCGTATATCACATAAAAAAAAATTCTGCATAATGATATTAACGATGTTCCAGAAAATTGAGAATAGATTTACGAAGTTTACATGATGTTACTGGTAAGCGCCATTTTGTTGGTCACGTCACCGCACTCGTTGATGTAAGATCTGGTTCTCGGCGTCATAGCTTGCTTCTGTTTGTGGCTAAAGAACCTCCTATGTTGCTAGTACAAATACTGGGGCCGCGAAGCCGTCTAACGTTTGATGCAGAAACGCTAATCGATGTGATCGGCGATTGGCAGCGGTAGTCACTTCAAGTGCCGACATGAGTGTTGCTACGCTGGCTAATCGGCGCTAAAGTAGTCGCCGATAGTAAACGTTAGACCGACCTGAGCGGGCCTTAACACGGCCTTAAAAATTGGCAGTGTGTACACGCTATCCCGCTCCAAGTATGCGCTGGCCTCTCCAAAAGTTCAGCCACCCCCTTACGATAGCAGTGGCTATCTATATATCTTTGTTTTGTAACTTCTTTTATAACTTATTCAACCTATTACCACTCGTTCGCCAAGCATGCCTCATTGAATGTCCGTGTAGCGAATCTGTAAGATCAGATTAGATTATGTGTTGATGGACAGGTTCCTACTGTGTGTGCAACAGTCGTGATCCAGCGAAACCTTGGAAGAAAGCTGAACATGCGCTGTCATCTTTCAGAGAGGTTGTCGATGAGTACAACTCGAGCCAGCACCGCGCTGCCTTGATCAGCTGCCTGCTGAACATCTTACGAGATGACACAAGGTAAGTAAGTAGCCGGCGTGAGATGATGTTAGCGAATGCAAGAGGACATATGATTAAATAATTTCATCGGATCTCTAAAGTTTACATGCTAATGAAGTTTATCTCAGTTAGATCCAGAGTCTATCGGAGAGATGGACGAAAATTTCGTCAGTGCAAGTTATTTTTAACTTAATTTGGATCTAGCTGAGATCAACTTTATTAGCAAGAGGACATAATGGTGTAGTCTAGGGTTGGGGCTTGGCTGTGTTCGTGTCACAATGTATCGAGTCACGAGTATGGGGACAGATCCAGGAGTTATGAAGTGTAAGGGGCTGGTGAATTCGGAGCACAGTGACATGGAGGGTGAGTAGCCACCACGTTGTTTGTTTTAAGTTGTACGCTGGTGGATTTAGACTATATGTTTTTCTTTTTGAAGTACTGTATTCTATTTTAACTGAAACAACTTGTTGACACATACTGGAAAATGTGTGACTAGGTATTTTTTTTTTAAGTAATTGAAATTCTAGTTTAATTAAGAAAAACTTAATTATGCCACTGATGAACTATATGAAACTTGTTTCTCGTGAGACCTCACCCCTGTATTTTGGCATGGTAACTTGAATTAAGCAAAAGAGATTTTATACCCATCTAGAACCACTACGTCGCTCAATAAGATGCACTTTTGTTTTGTGTTTGGCAATTTCAGGCTAATTCTCGCTATACAAAAGAATGTGGCTGTTTATTTGCTATTTTATGTTAACAGCATAAACACATGGTAATTTTTATACTGGAATAATCAGTAACATGTTCGCTATTAGATGAAACTATATTTCGGTATGTTTTTCTCGATTTTGCAGTTTTTTATGAAATAATCCCTTTCAATATTAATATCACATGAATATCACAACATGAATAGACACATATACAAGTAGGCAGTTTTTTATCAAAATGATTCTGTTATTTCATCACGTGTTTATAAATCGTTACAATTTGCCACGGGTTGAGATGATAGCATGCCAGCTATTTCACAAATGTGGACTGTCTTGTCAAGAACCTTGAGAAGTGACTATACTTTGATCCATCAGTCTATTATAATAAGCTTACACTGCAACAGCCATTGTTGTACTTTGCAGCCAACTGCCTGACCCCAACTTCGAGTCGTGTCAGAGCAAGCATGGAATCATGGACATGCTAGCTCAGGAGAGACTAAGTGCGATATTTGTCAAGCTTCCTGTCTATGGAACCAGGTACTCTAGCTAGCAGCCAACTAGCTGCACAAGGTGGTTTCCATTGTAACTGCAAATAATATTTGCCCATGGTAACAATCCATAGCAGCAATACTTGGTAGCTTCATGTAGTAACCGCCCATAAGTTTTTTTTGCTAGGTACCCACTGTAGCTGTCGATGGTAGCTTCTCATAGCAGCTGTCTATGGTGGTTGCCCATGGTAACCATCCATGGTAACTGCCCATGGTAGCTGCACGTGGTTGTGGAAACTGTAGCAAGTGGCATTCTAATTATCGCAGTATACTGGGATGTTGTAGGTGGTTCAGTTAGCTTTTAATTAACCTTACTGCTTCTTTTTGATTAGTATGTTACCTCTTGAAACATTAGTTTCAATTCTGTTATGGAAAAAGTGTCGTTAGACGTACATGTTCCTCGGCCTAAATTAACACATCCATCCTTCTAACCAGTAGGTGGCACCAGATGCCAGGCTATTATCCCATACAGACTACGAATTTGGTATGGTACCAAACTAGCGCGCGTGTCTAACACGCATTAAAAATTGCAGTGTGTACACGCTATCCCGCTCCAAATACGCGCTGGCCTGCTCCAAGTTGGCCCCGCTTACGAAGCAGGGCTATCTTGGTGCGCACCAAGTTATCCCGCTCTAACTCTGTGTCTGTACGCAATCGGTGCCTAACGCGAGCTAAGTTTTGCAATGCGCATGCGCAGGGGTCGAAATAAGGGATGGCCCAATGGTCCGGGGCCATCAAATAATCAGGAGGACCATCAGATTTTCAAAGTCAATGGTCCGACGGACCATTAAATATTTTGGTCCCTTTTTATGGTAAATTTCTTGCACGCCGCATTACATTTAGAGAACACTTTGAAATTTAGGTGGACCATCTCTTTTTTTCTCCTTATTTCTACCCCTGCATGCGCATAGCTTTATTTAGGTTACGTACGCTTGCTCGCACACACGCACGCTGTACCTCACTGTCTGCGGGGTGACGTGGCGAGCAGGGTACAGAGCAGGGTACTGAGCGGTGCAGAGATGCCAACCACTACGATTTATCCGTATTTTATACGAATTTCTATTCCTTTTGCACCACTACGACCAGTTTGTATCAAACTAATTTCACTGTGATCGAATTTTATCTTTTTGTCAATTATTGTCATTTGTTGTTAATTTATTGTAATTTTTGACCCTCAGAGTGCAGGAAATTGCTTCTCAGAATCAAAAAATTTTTCCGGGGGGCATGCCGGCACTACGTGAACCTCGAACTACTAATTTGATGGCCAGAAACTACAGATTGCTTCAAATATGTGTTGGCATCTCTGGCGGTGGGAGAACTGATGACTCATTTAGCCCACTTCAGTTTTGTGTCTGTATGCTTCTAGTTAGCGTGCGTCTGACGCGCGCTAAAATTCGTAGTCTGTACGGGGTATATAAGAGCCAACAAGGGTGTACCCCTCCTGTAAGTGCTGTGGCAGAGATGAAGAGCATCGTTGATATTGAGCTGGCATTTTCCTCTAGGACTCACACGCTTATCCTGGTGGATGCAGA